GTTAAATACAATGAAGGGATAAAATATGAATATAAAAATGAAAATTAAAAATTTTAAGAAAGGAATTGATAAGATGTTGGTTGAAAAAGGGAAGAAAAATTCAACTAAAAAAAACCAAAAAAAGAGTAAAGAAAATTTAAAAAATTAACTTCGAAAGACTGAAGCATCATGGGAAAAAAGCCATGAATCCTATGTGCTGTATTCCTCTAGGGTTGGGGTTTTGTCATTTTCATTGATCGGTAAACTTGGTCTTGGCTGGATGTTCTTGCTGATCTTCTGGGGGAGGGACCTGTTGCAGTGATTCTCAAATGCTTTGCCTGAGGCGGAATTTCCCCACTCTTGCCGGGGGTGGGCTAGGTAATCTGCTTGGGTTTGCTCTCAGGAGCTTTTGTTCCCTGCAAGCTTTCCCTACAGCTTTGTAGGACGAGAGTGAAAATGGCGGCCTCCCAGTCTCCAGCCCGGAGGAGCCGAGAACTCGGGGCCCCACTCCTCAGTGAGCCCTCAGAGAAAAGCAATCACTCCTGTCTCCCTGGACTCTGGCTGGACTCCGTGCTCACCTGGCCTGTGACTGAGCATTTCTATCTCTGGCACATGACCCCGTTTGGAGTCTCCAAACCCAGGAGATTCCTACATCGGGTTCCTGTGTCGCTCCTCCCGGGGGAGGATCTGCTACTTGTTGGGTCCCTGCTTGAACAGTGGCCCGACTATGCCACGGATCACGGTTTATGGCAAACCCGAGCTGAGAACCCACTCCTCGGCTCAGTCTCTGCAGCTGGCTTCCCTGCTCCGATACCTGGGAGCTCTGTCACACTCAGGCACGCCCGTCTTTCTGTGGCCCTGAGGGTCCTGAGACCACACTGTCCCAGCGAGGGTCCCCCCCTCCCCCACCGCTTAGCCAGCGGAGCAACGTCCCTCAGTGGAGCAGACTTCTGAAATTTCCAATTTTGTGCTCCGCTGCTCTATCACTTGCTGGTAGCGACTGATGGAGGCCCCCTCCCCCGCCGTCTATCTTCCTGAATATCGCCTCTGATTCACTTCTCTGCACGTCCTACCTTCCAGAAAGTGGTCGCTTTTCTGTTCAGAGAATTGCTGCTGTTCTTTTTTCTTCGATTTCCTGTTGAGTTCGTAGGTGTTCTAAATGGTTTGATAACTAGCTGAATTCCTGGGACCAGACGAAATTGAGGTCTCCTACTCCTTCACCATCTTGCTCTTCCCCTGTCCCTTCACTCTCAATCTTCATAGGTCTTTAGGTCTGAAATGAGTCCCTTGTAGGCAGCATATATCTTATATCTTGCCCCCCCCCTTTTTTCCTTTAATGGGGCACCAGGACCAACGATCACCAGCTGCTCAGGTACCAAAAAATTGATGATTCTGAAATCTCTTGATGTCATTTCCACAGGAAGAGCAATGCAGCTGCCCTACATGTGCCATTCATGATACAGCCCTTTTTTGTGTGTCTTGCTTTTTTATCCACTTAGTCACCTTATATCCTTTTTTGGAGCATTTAGTCCATTTACACTGAAAGTATTTATTGATAGGTATGTACTTACTGCCATTTTGTTAATTGTTTTATGGTTGTTTTTATAGTTCTTTGTTCCTTTCTTGTCTTGCTCTCTTGTGGTATGATGGGCTTTCTCTAGTGATATTCTTGTATTCCTTTCTCTTTTCTTTATATCTATTACTGGTTTTTGATTTGTGGTTACCATTAGGTTTGTATATAACATCTTATGCATATAGCAGTCTGTTAAGTTAATGGTTGTTTAAGTTTGAACTCATTGTAAAGCACTAAATTTTTACTCCCTTGTACCCCACGTTTTAGGTATATGGTGTCATATTTTACATCCTTTTATTTTTGTGAATCCCATTACTGATTTTTATAGATATATATTTTTAAAAGATCTTATTTATTTATTTTAGAGAGAGTGGGAGAGAGCACAAGCAGGGGGAGTGGCAGAGGGATAGGGGTGAAGCAGGCTCCCTGCCAAGTAAGGAGCCCTGGAATCATAACCTGAGCATAACACTTAACCAGTTGAGCCACCCAGGCGCCCCTATAGATATATTTGATTTTGCTTCTTTTGTGCTTTAACCTCTATACTGGTTTTATAAGGGATTATTCTATTTTACTATGTTAATATGTAGCTGTGAAAGTTTTTCCTTTCCTACTTTTCTTATTTCTGCTGTGGTCTTTCCTTTCCACTCAAAGAATCCCCTTTAACATTTCTTGTAAGGCTGGTTTAGTGGTGATGAATTTCTTTAATTTTTGTTTGGAAATCTCTTTCTTTCCTTCAATTCTAAATGATAGCCTTGCTGGATAGAGTATTTGTTGCAGGTTTTTTCCTTTCATGGATGAGGCTTAGTCTTAAGAGGTTACATTTATGATTCATGTGAATCTGTGAGATAAATACTGTTGTTATGCTCATTTTCTAAATGAGTAAACTGAGGTATGGGGAAGTTAAGTAATGAGACTAAGGTCACAGAGTTAATAGAAGTAGGCTTTGATTCCTGATATCCTGACTGTAATGCTTGCTCTCGTAACCAATGTACTGTATTGCCTTCTTCGTTCCATAATAGCTGCTCTGGTCAAGGAGTTGTGTCAAGGACTTTACATGTATTATCTTATTTAATCATAATGTCTCTGTTAAGTATGTGGAATATTTTTGTTTTACAGATCAAGAAAGTAAAGCTCAAAGGGGTTAAGTAATTCATCCAGGTACAAACAGTGGTGGCTTCATGATTGGAACCATCATGTGTCCAGCCCCAAAGTCTGTGGTTTTAACCACTCTCCACTTACAAGTAGCTTACGGTGTTTAAAAAGGGTTATTACATAGTTTTAAATATAATTTTATTATTATTTCTAATATTAAATTATACATATATCATGATCTTTAAGTCCTAATTCAAGTATCACTGCTCAGTGAGGTCTTTCAGTCCCTCCTGCATCATTTATGGCCCTTCTTACCATGCTCCATTTATTTCCCAATAGACATTACCAATTACTGTCTATGTATTACAGTCTAATTACATAGTATGTTTATCGCTTGTCCCCTCAGTAGTTTGAATTCCATGATGGCAGAGATTCTCATATGTTTTTTTCATTTGTGTTTCCAGTGCCTGGGATACTATGTAGTAGGAACTCAGTGAATATTTGTTGATATATGAATTCTAATATTTAATTAAAATTTATTACATTTATTACACTGTTAAATACTTTTGGTTAATTCCTCAAACCTAACACTTGAATTTCTTCTATGACATATTGTGTAATTTTGTTGTAAATCCCAGTTTAATTATTGGGATAGAGTGTGTATTTTGTAGATTCCACCCCCCCCTTACTTTTGTAAATACAATGTTTCTTTCAGGGAAAGGCATCAGAAAAGCTTTCTGAAAACAGTAAAATATTAATCTCCATGGCTAAGGAAAACATACCACCAAACAGTCAACAGACCAGGAGTTCTTTAGGTATGTCATTAGGTATGCTAAATTGATTTTAAAGTATTCTTAGCAGGCCGTTGTGAAAGAGTTCTGTATTGTCAGAAAAAAAGGTTTCTTTGGAATCGCAGTAACTCTTTGATATCTGGAATCTTACATATGACTATACTGTCTGCAAAGGAAATATAATGCATACTGAGAAAAATCTACCCATTTTAAATGATATTCCCTTATAATTTATGGAAATCATGGCAGTAAGTATATACAACATAAGTAAAAATTAATTGAAAAATTTGAATGGATTTGTGTGTGAGAGGGAAAATGTGTTAATTGAATAAAAATGTGGATGTTTATTTAAAAATCAGAGATGCTTAGAGGATACAAAATGCTATTTAGTGAATGTTTTAATTATTACTATATTAGAATTGTACAGAAGTTAATATTGCAGCTATACTGAGTTTTTGATTATGGTTATGAAAATACGTAGAAATTTTTCTATGAAGTATAAATAACATACAGTGTTATATTAATTTCAGGTGTACAACATATTGATTCAACAATTCTATACATTAGTCATTGCTTACCACGATAAGTGTGGTCATCATACAACAATATCGCAGTATTACTGACTCTATTCCGTATACTATATTTTTCATCTTTGTGACTTATTTTTAACTGGAAGTTTGGATTTTTATCTATTTCACCCATCCCCCTTATTCACTTTGCCTCTGGCAACCACCAGTTCAGTTTGCTGTATTTGAGTCTGGTTTCTTTTCTGTTTGTTTTGTTTTTTAGATTCACATGTAAGGGAAATCTGTATGGTATTTGTCTTTCTCTGACTTATTTCACTTACCAGAATAACCTTTAGATCCATCCATGTTGTTGCAAGTGGCAGGATCTTACTCTTTTATTATGGCTGAGTAATATTCCATTCCATATATGTAACCATATCTTCTTTATATGTTTGCTATTGATGGACACTGGGTTGCTTCCATATCTTGTTATTGTAAATAATGTTGCAGTGAACTTAGGGGTGATATATCTTTTCAAAATAATGTTTTTGTTTGGTTAAATAACCAGTGGTGAAATTACTGGGTCATATGTTATATTTATTTTTAATTTTTTGAGCCAACTCCATGCTGTTTTCTGTGGTGGCTAAACCAATTTACATTCCCACCAATAGTGCACAAGGGTTCCTTTTTCTCCACATGATTTTCTCCACATGCTTTTTCTTCACTTGTTGTTTCTTATGTTTTTGATTGTAGCCATTCTGACAGATATAAATATGGTTTTGATTTGCATTTCCCTGCTGATTAATGGTGATGAACATCTTTTTATGTGTCTGTTAGTCATCTTTATGTCTTCTTTGGAAAAATGTCTCTTCCTGTCTTCCCATTTTTTAACTGTGTTATGTGGTGGTTTTTTTTTTTTTTTTTTTTTTGGTGTTGTATAAGTTCTTTATATATTTTTGATATTAAACCCCTTACTGAATGAATTGTTTATAAATATCTTCTCCCGCTCAGTGGGTTGTCTTGTTGTTTTGTTGATGGTTTCCTTCATCGTACAAAAACTTTTTATTTTAGTGTAGTCCCAGTATTTTGTTTTTGCTTTTGTTTTCTTGCTTTAGGAGACGTATATAGAAAAATGACACTAGGACCGATGTCAAAGAGATTATTGCCTGTTTCCTTTTCGGAGTTTATGGTTTCAGGTCTCACATTTAGGTCTTTGTAGATTTTTAAATTTTTTAATTTATTTGACAGAGAGAGACAGCGAGAGAGGGAACACAAGCAGGGGGAGTGGGAGAGGGAGAAGCAGCCTTCCTGCAGAGCAGGGAGCCTGATGCGGGGCTCGATCCCAGGACCCTGAGGTCATAACCTGAGCCGAAGGCAGTTGCTTAACCAACTGAGCCACCCAGGCGCCCTGTAAGAGATAATTTTTTAAAAAGTTTAATAGTAGATTCTCTGATGCAGTAAGGTTAGAATCACTTTGAAATTCTGGGTTACAGCTTGCTCTGGATTGTACATGTCATGCCTTTGTAACCTGGCACAGGTTATTTAAGCTCTCTGTTTCTATTCTATTAAATTCTACTAAGAATTTAAGAATTATTCTTTATTACATGCACAAATGATGGAGAGTTTAAAGTCTAGTTTAAAGACAGTGACCTCTGCTTATTCCTTAATTGGTGTTCTTTTGGGCAGTGTCTTAGGCCTTTTCATTTCATATATTCCCTGACTGACCTTGTCCACTCAGAGGCTTTATATATCATCGGTGTGTTCATGACCTCTAAATCTGTATTCCAATCCTGATTTTTTAAAATTTAAAAATTTTTTTTATTGAACTTCGGACCCATATATCTAATGTCCTATTGGACGTCAATACTTGGATGTCATGGGCTCAGAATTAACATATGCAAGATTACCTTTACTCTTCTCAAACTTTCTGGTACTCCAGTGAGGTGTTTGCCTAGTCATCTTTGACTCCCTTCTTTGCCTCCCACAGCAAGTAATTACATAAGTTCAGTTGATTCTACTGCTTAAATTTAAAAATCAGTTTATTTTTCTCTAATCCCACAAACATTATTTTATGCAGGCCTGTGCTGTCTCTGATTTTTTTTCTAGTGTTCTTTTTGTTTTATGGTCTAGCCCCCCCCCCCACTAAGTCTCTGCACTGCCTTTCATTATCTTTTCAGAAAAACAAATAGGATCACGTTAGTCTTGCTCAACTCCTTCAATGTATTCTTGTTTACCGTATGATAATTTTATCCTTTTATTGATTTTCCCAGATTGTGTTAGTTATTTATGTTTTGTCCTCTTGTGCTTCTGTTGCATTGATTCTCTCTGTAAAGTGTAGTTTTGAACTTACTCAACTGTCTCTTGTACTGCAGTGGTATGCCAGCTTGCCTGCTATTATGTATTTGCTGCCTAGCACAGTGCCTGTCACTTTAGTGTTTAAGGAAGATGTTCTGAATGAATGAGGGTCCCCATTGCAAAAATAACTATTCTGTTGGGTATGTAGAATTTAA